GGCATGACCTAGTTTTTATTGTCCATAACATGTACCTGTACCGGTACATGTTATAGAAAATTACATAACATGTCCATATGTACGTGTATGTATGCCTAGATTTAGTACAGTACTACATGTATCATACAAATGAACTTTTGAGTGAAGAAGTAACCAAAACATACAAAGTGCGAAGTTGAAGAAATTCTAAATTTTTATACTTGAATTGTAATGAAATCCATTTGACATACGTAATTCTATATTCTTACTTTAAATGTTACTTTATCCTTTTGTGTCCATATAGAATATTCTTCAAAATTATCCATGGGATCTTCGCTTTGCTTTAATACTGCACACCTGTCATCTTCAACGCACGTCACTGTTCTGTTTTGTCTGTCCCCCTATCTGCCAACTGTCATGCGAAATTCTAATGAGAATGGTTCATACATTTGTAGGCCAACGGTGCTCACGACCGTGACAGACTCTCTTCGGATGCTTTACATGCCCATCAAGTATAAGTGCATTTCAAATTTTTCGATATATTTTAATCCAAATCAGTTTCTGGTTGGCTGGCCCGCACATTAGCCAAATTTGTTGATGATGTTAGTTCATATTGCGGCGTGTTTTCTACGAGGGAACGCTCCCAAGTTCATGAACTCTTGATTTATGACTTGGCTGGAGCTGATGTTTGTACAACATATGCAGTAATTGGCATTGAACATTCCACTGGTAGTGGAATATGTAAACGTGTGGTCTTAAAAAAAAAATTAAGAGGATGGTTTTGATAAACTAACGGTTATATAAAACAGGTGGAGGAACATGTAAGATGAATACATACATAAAGAATGTGAATGCCATTATGTCAAAAAATATTCGCAAGATGGAATTTGCGTTGGGGTGATGTTAATGCAATATTGTGTTTCGTCCTTCACCGACAGGTTTTTTTGGTTATAAACACTGTATACTCAGTGTTGTCTCGAGTGATTGTGAGAAAAAAATTCACTCGGGTGGGACTCGAACCCATGACCTCCTGCACTAGTAAGCAGGAAGTCGTGGGTTCAAGTCCCATCCGAGTGATTTTTTTTTCTCACATTCACACGGGCAATCACACTGATGGGCAAAAGCTAATATTGATGACAAAAACATTATATGTATAATTTAAGACAAAAGTAACAAGGCTTATGTCAAAATCACGTAGAACTGGGTTGAGTTTTAATGATAGAAGACAAGAATTAACGTGGAAAGAGATTTGCAACAATTTGGAGATTTTTAGGATAATTAACGATGCAAGTAACCTAAGAAAACTTGTGTCAGAATTTCAATTGAGTTTTCAAAGTGGAATCTCACTACAGAAAATGCTGTCTTGTTTTTAATACTTGCTTTCGCATTACGCCAAATTATTACTGTTTTTTATTTCACTTTTGCTTTGGAAAATCTTACTTTAATAAACAAAACTGTTATGTCAGGAAAAAGTGTCTACCATAAAAAATATATAAAACATCAATGTTGCATTACATTGATTTTGACAGTCTACAATGTACAATGTCACAACTGTTTTGCGACTTTTAGTCATATTTTATGGTTTAATCTATTTGTGCAAATGACTGTATTATGCGCCCATATTCTTATCTGCTGTGTGTGTGGTTTTTTCGTCCCGCTGTCCGTCCTACTACAGCGAAATCAGTTTTGATTTGAAACCATGATCATGCCCCTAATACCCTAGGGGAAAACCGTACCTCTTCTACTGCCCAAGATATTACTGGTTATAGACAAGATGTCTAGATTTCTGATGACAAGATACAGTAGAAAATGCAGAAACTCGGCCCAATGTTTGAGATTAACGTCCCGGTGGGAATAGGAATAGGATAGATGAGATTTATATTCAGTGGAAAATCCCCAAAAACCTATCAAAGAAAAATTATATTTGTGTGTACATGTACACGCAGCAACGGTGGTCAATTATCCACCATCTTTGTTGGCTTTTCCGCTACTTCTGCGGAAAAGCCTTCGTTTTTGTTCTGATTTTTTTCTTCTCCTTGTTGTTCTTCCATCCCAAATCCCATGGACTTTGTACACGTACATGTTTATTTTTTTTTCAATGTTGGGATGGCAGTGAGAGTCCATACGGTGGCACTGATTCAAATACACATGAGCCAATTTTTTTTAAAGCAGGTACAATGTAAGTTGACCTCAACAACCTATGACATTTTACGAGAATACAGCACATCTTGACACCATGTATAGAATCTACATTTGTTCAACATGTGTAACATCCCATTTTTTGCATTCGTTTTGTGCCCTGACTGGGCCCATCCTATCCAGGTCAATAAATGGGTATTTCGAAAGAAAAGAAAGCATTACAATTTACAACATATTGAAAAAATTGCAGATCACGCAGATAACAAGTGGGTAAATTCAAACATGGGAGTTTGTGATTAGACTAGCCAGTATTCGGTACCAAGAAATTCACATAAACAGTGAACGTGGACTGGCGAGCAAAAAAAAAATGACATTCAAAATTCATGAATATATCTACTACAAGACAGCAAATTTCAAAGCAGTCAAGCATGTTCAAACCCACCTGTCACTGAAGAATGAATAATATTCAGGGATGTTTGCATTTTTTTCTATAGTTTGGGAGTTCAAACAGGTCTGCATTGCATGAACAAGCATCTACGCTCACGCACAACCATAATGGTTAATTTCAGGCACTACCAATCAAGTATACAATTGAGTCTCATGCAGCCATTTTTTGTTGCCACTATTGAAAATTATAAAGAAGTTGCATGCAAATAATGTTTTTCAAATTGAAGATGAAAACAGTGGTGAAAGCTATGATTGCTAGGGGCAATCCAAGAAAATTTGTTAGGAGTTATTTATTATTTTTTTTAGTACATTTTTTTTTATCAATTACACTCACTTCAAATCATGTGCCAGTCACATGAATACCCGGCGAGATTTGTTCCATAGAAACAGAGATATCAAAGCCAGCGCATCCATTTCCTGAGCCGAATTCAATCTGCCTTAAACCGAAATTTTAGAATTTAGACGCATGGCCGGGCTGAAGCGCGCCGCGCCTGGACGCAGGCTGATAAATCAATCAATATCGATCGCAGACCCCCCTTCTCCCGAAAATGAGTCAACATAACACAACTAATGACATTTTAATAGCTTCTTCACATTTGCTAAGCGGTCTTCCTGTCCTGGGCTTTTTTGAATTGCTTTAAAATGGACAGGCAGAGGGTTTTTTATTCAGCAATTATTCAAACCTTGACGATAAACAGACTGACAATTCACCGCTGTACTTTATTCACCCGCTGATCTGATGAGCCGAAAGTACAGGGACGGTGTACAATTCTATTGAATTAGATTAAGCTGTCAAGTGGATATAGCATTATGAAACCGTGCTATGTCAAGTTGTACGTTTCGTAAACGTTATGCAAACCTCTTTTCTACCAAGCCAGATCAATTTCTTCACTTCATTGAATATCAAATTTGGTTGGTGGCAATATGTTCATGACTTATGACGTCATCCAGCATCATCAGATGTGAATTTCAATATTTGGGTTTCTCCATAGATAACAAAAGAGGTCACGAGTTCGAGTCCAACCGGAGCACACTTCCAAATATTTCTCACAAGTTCTAAAATATCACTGATTATACAGTATATTTTATAAAATAAACTAAATGAAAGTCAAAACCTGCGATTAAAATATGTAAACACATAATTTATGAATATATAAAGATCATAATGGTTGTCTGATGGTCAGTCCCTTTTTTGAATCCTTTGAAAGTAAAAGTTGGGAACTAAAAACTTGTATTGTCTCATTTTACAGGTATTTTGCAAGCCTCTCTGATGTGGTGCGGAGGACTGTGCCATGTGCAATTTCTGATGATGTTGTTTTCTTCCCGGGTGACTGTGAGTAACCGAGCGAGGTGATAGAGCTTCATGAATGCTGATCACTAGGAGACACCTTATCGGAAGGAACGTTATCAACAAGCACACCGAAACTAGGTCAAGTCATGAGGATTGCATCTACGGCCAATCAAAATACATTGTTGGCTTTGGCGCATAACTGATCTTTCTGGACATTTTTGAGTTGATTTATTCCCTTTCCTTCACAAGAGAATATAATTTGGCTGTTGCAAGAACTGTCAAAATTGTGTGACAAATTTAATATTCAAAGTTTCCAACACATTTAGTAGTCAGCATGGAAAAAAGCATGTTCAGACTTTGGGCTCCATGTGAAAACAAGAGAGGGCGCTTTTTTAACACTTGGACAGGGCACACTGCGTGCGCGTATTGGTTTGCGTATGTGTAGCGCAAAGTAGCACGACCAATTCTATTCTTCGTGTGCCCAAATCTGTAGCGTCTTCATGTGAACCTCAGGCATTGTCGAGAATGCGTTTGAATGTTTCACCCTGTGGTCTCCCCCAACTCTACCTTTCTTACCATCGAGGGGGTACTTGCCCATTCTGACGACAGTTGTAGTAGCGTTTTGCTAGTGAATGTGTCTCATGCAGTATTAAACTTTGTGGATGTATTTTGGCAATTGTAGATGACCAAGGTACCACCTTATTTATGTCATCAATTGCGGCTAACAGAGTAATCTAGATGCTTGTCTTTGAGCACACTGCAATCGTCAATGCTGATTGGTCATCTAATGCAATCCCTAAATGGCACTTCGTGGCTAATCCTGAGAGCTCTTTCGCAGCGACACGTAGTTTGGGCGCACTGGTTCACGCACATGGCGTGAAGATGCACAACTTATTTTATGCTCAATATGAACAAAGCCATGGCGTCTTTGTGCGAGCAACAGGCGTCGTCCGCAATGCGTTCAATTGTCTCTCCCAGTGGTCTCCCCTAACTCTCCCTTCGCAACCGTTGAGGGGGTATTTGTGCATCAAGTCCATTGAGGCATTGCATTTTATCCAATCCTGACTCTATTTTTCTATCCTAGCGAGGGGGTACTTCTCTATGGAGTCCATAGCAGCAGCATCATTACTATTTTAAAGTAAACATGAGGAGCATTCAAGTCACTTACTTGTTAGGTCGACAGAATCCATGCTTGAGTCGCACATTGTTGCTGGCGCAGGGCCGGCCAAACATCACCCTGTAACGGGGACAAAGTCAGAACAAAAATTCTTCTTTTAAGATGTAATGTCCTCAAATCAATGATAATCAAGTTATTATTTGATCCTTGATGTTTTTTCCCCAAAGCAAAAAAAATGCATTCAAACAGGTTCGAATCTCAGCCAAGCCATTTTGTAAAGTTGAACAAAGAAATTGACTGGAGCTGGGTTTGAACCGACGACCTCCGGCTTGCCGTTCCGGTGCTCTACCAACTGACCTGTCCAGCTGGCGGTTCCCCATTTAATTTGCAATCAAAACTGTAACTCTCAATTTTGCCATGAAGCATTTGTCATGAGATTCCAACATGATTTGTGCAGAAATAAAGTTCTTCCAACTTTAACTTTTAAAGCTTTTTATCAAGAGGTCCCCTGATTCTGTAAAACGCTTTCAAAAAAAATCAAAACATGTTTTACATTGTATAAAATGTTAACCGGTAGCCTGTTTTTGCAATTAGCAATTTACCCCAGAACTCACCTCAACCTCAAATCTTGGAAAGCAGCTTGGTTGTTTGTTTCTGGACAACAGAGGGCAGTCTTTGGAGCTCGAAATCAACCCAGGGTGGCCTGTTTTTTCCAGAATTCAAGAACAATCTTTCAAGGTTTGGTCAATCATGACCAATGCAGTGGGGAAGACACACACTTCAAAATCTCCTGTCCGCTCTTCAGTCTCCAAGTCAAACTTTGATATATCTGGGAAAAGCGGAGAAGGAAAAAATGAAAATAGTTTATAAAAAAACATTTTTGTTTCAATCCAGAACACATAAATTACGGTTTGTTTAATGAATACTCAATTTTCGCAATTTTGCAATTACCATGAATGTCAATCTAATCAACAGTTTTCCTTTTGGGAAATCGTTTTCCATTACTGCAAACGTTCAAGCTTTTTCTTAACACTTGAGTGTAGTATGGGGTCATGATATTATAGTATTCACTGGCGTCGCATAAATTTGCAAATTTCTGAAAATGGTTGGGCTATGGCAGTATACGTGTGTAGAACAATTTGTAGCTTTTACCTTAAAATTTAACCACATATCAAGCCATCAGAAAAAATCAATTAAGAAATATGAACCCCCAAATAGACTCACAAATTAAGCCACATTTTTGCACAAATCTGTGCGAGACTGGTAAATTCTGTCTGGGATAAGTTCAAGTGTTCATGACTAGGACGACACATTAGCATACAATCCAGCAGTCTGCCAAACGGGTCAATAAAATATCCCGGTGGGAAACGGCAATAAAACATGTTGAACAGGATGTTAACATGGATGCACCGATGTATGTTATGGAATTTGAGGGAGCACATTGACTTTGACTGAAATTGTACAAATCCCCTTGGAAACGGCCGGTGACCCAATGAAAGTTCAGTGAACCAAATTCTGCAGGTACCGGTATCACACAGGAAAATGAAGGGCTTTTTGAAGGTTTTTAGGTTTTTAACAAAAAAGGTTCAACAACAATGCAAATGTAAAACTACACTGCTTACTTAAAGGCATAAAAGTTGCCAAAACAAAATGTTAAAATTGAAATAAGATTTCAGGTGATTGGAATAACAGATTAATTTATTATGAATTAGGAAAACTGAAGCTAAGCCGTCAGTGTTTACACATGATCCTAAGTCAATTCTATAAAGTTGGAACATCACAACAAAATCTGCACATTATTTTATATTGTCACAGTGACAGTTTTTCTAAGCATCCCAAATAAAGTGCAAGTAAAAACTACCTTGGAGCAATCAACAAACAATAATATCTGCGGTTCAAAATTAAAGGGAATGGCTTTTGCTGTAATTTTCAGAAATGAACTATTTGGTGGGTCAGTATAATAGATCAAATATTGTTACACTGACATGTTTGAAGTTTTGTGTTCAAAAATGCTGGAAAAACCAAGAAAAACCAAAAAATATTCAAGTAGTCTGGTTCCCTGACTCCACTAAAGATGAAATGGATAAAAAATGCCGGAAAATTGTAAGGTAAGGGAACCAGTCTAGCTGGCCTGCATCCGTTCATGAACATGGAACCAATAGCAAACAAAATTTGGACTGAACAAAAAATGGTAAATTTTGAGCAGTATTTGAAAAATAGTTAGGTTTTTCCAACGGTGGTCGGCCGACCACCGTTGGAAATGTATACAAAAACACCATTTTCTTGAAAATGACTTCACACCAGGTGCCATAATTTTACAGGATGCGTTAGACTGTCATTTACCAACATCCTAGTAAGGTATTTCGTAACAACTTGGTAGTTTTATTTTTCGATGTTTGCAAATGCTGTATTTGACTATTTTCCCTTTAAAGTTTTCTTATATACTTTATCTGAAAAAAAATCCTTTCGTTCATGATAGAATGGATACCCATGGAAGTTCCAAATCTTAACAGACACATATTCAGCAGAAATTGAAACAAATGATTCATGCCGTGTCTCATAAACTGAAAGCAGACCCTGAACCTTCCCATTTCTATCTGTTCACAGTAATCTCCAGATCACAAGGAAATGTTAGCCAAACATCCTGTCGAATGTAAGTCACCTTGACACCTTCTAACCCAATTACTTCTGCTTTGTCAACACCGATTTCTTTCCCATGTATTTCTTTCCTTTTTTTCTTACACAGGAACAAGACATTTCCAAAGCCTTACATTTCCTAGTGTCGGTGAAGAGAGAGACACATAGCCGGTACTTCCCCCACGTGTGCCGCGACCGTGGCCCAATTACTGACAAATGGAATTCTCTGATTTGTTCAGGAGATTTGGCCGGTGTTTATCTTTCAGAATTGGAACTCCAGAGGGAGAGTCGGAAGTCATGTGTGCGGCGGACACGGACACGAGATGAGAGTTGCAAACCCAGCCTGACCCAATTCAACACATTCCCACACTCGGTGACAAAGGGAAATGGATGGAGACTAATTTGCACGCGATCTTTTGGCTATTCAACTGAGCTGCGAGCTAGCGGCTTGCTGATTATGTAGGCCTTTCTGCACACGAGTACACCAAGTTCAGTGGGTAAAAAGTAAAATCACAATCAAACATCCAACATTTACCAAATGTTTACTGTTTCTGTCTGAACAAACTCTGTGTTGTAAGTGCATAGACTTTTTTCACGAATTGGCCATATTAAATCAAAAGTGAGGTAAAGTCTTCATTTTTGGAACTTGCGAGTAGAAATGAAAGCAATAAAATAAAGTTCATAACAAATTAATACCAGTCTGCTCTGATGAATAATTTGCAATTTGCGATTTTAACATTCCCTAATGTTTTAAGCTGCATTTAACAATTTAACCCTGCTATTTAAACAGTCACATACAGTCAAAATTTCCGTCTACTTCCCCTGCTATACTTTTAACACAGACTACTCACCAGCAGTCAGATCATATGTCAAGCAAGCACTGTGACTAGTCAAACTCAGTCAACAGACCATGAACAGACAAAGCAGGCAAGTTGTGGGCACAGCTGGCTTATCAATTACCCACAGCCAAAGCAAAGCTGTATCGAGTTACATAAACAGTCAGGGCCAGTCAATCTTGCTTTACCTAGGCTGGAAATTCTTAACTGTTGAAAACAGTCACCTGATTGATTTTGACTGAAAGGACTACTTGGCACAGAATATACCGTAGGAGCATTAAAAATAAATTGAAAGTGAGGCTTGGTATGCAATAGGCTGGCACCATCCCATTCAACAGTTTACAATTTATAAATGAGAGTCAGGGAACATGATCTAAAATGGCTTCCTCATGAGTAAGGTCTATTCTAAGTGCATGTAACGCTCTCACTTGATTGTGGTAAGTCATTCTTGTCCTTTTTTTCAGCTTCTGTTGTAAAGACATGATTTACCTGAAGCTCTACAAATTTCCTCCGCGTGTTCGTACATCCTTGGAACATGCCCACTTTCCTACAATCTGCTGTGCAATATGCCCAATGTACGCGTAGGACCTGTGTAATCTGCCTATGTGCACTACGCATTTAGCTTCTATTGACACCGCTTTTTCCCCTTCCATAATTAAGTTCGTCTTCATTACGTTTGGGCGCAAACCCTCTCCGCTGAAACCAGATATGTCGCATCGGGTGTATTCGGCATACATCCGCGCAAGTTCTTCCCTTTTACATAGGGTGTAAGGGGACACCGCCAACCCCTCACACAAACAGTGTCGGGTTCTGCCGAGCAAACCTCTGAAGATGATGTCTTAGTCTCTTAAAAGCATGGAAAGATGCCTATTCACTGAGCAAGCAGCGAAGGAAGTTCAAATTTCTCGGCGTGCTCGGGACTCGGTGTTTAATGCATGTAGTGTTAGACTGTGTAGAATGGGCAATCGGCTGTGTCAATATGCAATAGGTTAGCACTCAGTAAAAGCCGGAAATAAATATGTGCTCTGCATAAACAAAACACCATTTTGTATTCTCCAATGTTTACTCCAAAATTTGCATTAATTATTACATGTAAATTTAAGTGGATTACTTCAATGCATTACACTTTTATATAGGTATCTATACGTGTAAAATGTAATTGACCACTTTATGGTAACTTAAAAAAAAAAAATAAGTACATACAAATTTTTTGTTAAACATTGATCCTGTTGAAACCAAAAGCGAATTGAATTGTTCCACTTTTGTTTGTGACTACTCAAGGCATGGGCATGTGCACCAAATTATGACGGGAAAAAATTATTTTTCATGTAAAAAGACAAAAGCAGAATTATTTTTTCTAGCAGATTTTTACTGAACGCTTTCCAAAATCCAGGATTATTGATAGATGGAATGTTTGGGAAAAAAATATTGGCGTGACCATACCAAGACTTGTAGGGAGAGGAAACCCTTCACATCGACGACCCCAGAACTGAATATTCAATTTGCAAAATGTAAGTGTACTTTGCATTCCCCTTCATGGTGAAATCCTATATGACGCTCGCAAAGTTGTACATGTACTTACGCACGTCTTAGCGAAGATGTTCACTTGTCCAAAAAAAAGAGGTTTGCAAATGTTGATTTGAAGCTGAAGTATTGACTTGCAGTACTCTAAGGAACAGCTTTTGAACATTAATACTCTGTGGCAGTGCTTTCAAATTCGTCTTCATTTCCCACATGCCATCACTTCATTGCTTTAATATCATTGCTTTTTTTGCCGTTTCTGCCCACAAGATTCGGAAGAAGACATAAAAAAGAAAGATGACTTTAAGTGCACGACGTCAGAACAAATCATCCAGCCAGAATCTCAGAATTGGTTTTGATGTTATTGTAAAGCTCCTCGGTACACATGAAACTGAGGGAGTGCATTAGATTCAAGAAATTCATTTCCTTTTTGTTCCGGGACGAGTCGGCTGAAAGGAAGTACCGAGCGCCTACTGATTAAAAAAAAAAATCATATTGTTTAGTCTGGCACGGAATTCCATTTCACAGTTCTTGAGGGGGGACTTTAAAAGAAATTGTTTATCCATTTTGGTGAATGAGTACTTTCAGAGGCGTCGTATCAGCCAAAGGCAGGGGTCAATGGCACTTTATCACAATGAAAGAATAAAGTTCAATTGTCGCGATTGTCCTCTAGCAGACCCTGGGTACAAACTGTCAAGTGGTCCGCACAAGAACACAAGTCCGGATTTCCCCTTTTAAAGCGATTTATTTTGATGGTCACAGAGACAGAGTAACAAATGGAGTTGAAAAAATTCCATTCTTGAACAAAATTGACCCAATGATTGCCATGATTGTT